AGCACGTGTTTGATGTCATTTCCTCCTCCTGGGCCCCCTCCAGCCCTACTCAATGCTCTTCAGGCAAGCGCCTTTAAACCGCAGGGCCTTTGCACTGGCTGTTTCCTCTGCCAGAGCGCCCTCTCCTCCCTCTGTGCCCAACTCCCTCCCACCCCCCATCCACCCCTGTGTCTCTGTTGCAGAAAAATCCCCAAACCAGTACAGCGAAAAACCAAGCAGCAACTTGGAGAGAAGGAGAATTCAGTTTTATTACGTGCAGCCTCAGAGGAGCTAGTGCTCTTAAGATGTGGGTGCTCAGCTCAGGGGCAATTTTGTTTTTATATTCGTGCCATTACAGTTTACCGTTAGAATTGGTATGGGTTGATTGGTTGATTTGTCTTCAGCCTCGGGAGTTGCTATGGGTTACAGGTAGTTCAAACAGGTATTTTGGCAATATATCTGTTATCTAGACAAAGTATTCCTAAGGGGAGAGTGGTTCTGCATGTTTACAGAAACAAGACAAGGAGCTGATTACAGCAAGCAAGCATGTTTACAGAAGCAGAACACAGTTGATTACAAGGTTAGCCCTTTGAGTGGAAAATCCCTCTTCATCTCCTTCTCAGAACCCTCCTACTTCCCACTACCTCAGGCCCCTTTTGATCACTTCCTTCCTCCCTGCTGTAATTTTCCATTGTGTCTGATTCTCAGCTGCCTCTCCTAGCAGACTGGGTGAGCCCCTAAAAATCAAAGCCCACATCTGCCTCGTACCCATTCTCCCCACCTGGGCCTGGCACACAGTAGTTGTGCAGAAGTGTGAGCCTAGTGAACACTGTTAACTAGAATCTCAGTGTCGACCCTGGCCACCATTCCACATGAATAAATAGAAGCCCAGAGAGGCCAAGTCTCAGGCCAGAGACATACAGCAGCCACTGGTCACTGCCAGATTCTTGCTGGAGCTGGAACTCCCCACAGACCTGCAGGACCCCTCAGTGCTGACTTCTCAAGCCCTGGCTCTGTTGGTCACAGCCAGCAAGGGAAGTGGGACATTTTTAAAGAGAGAAGTTTATACCTGGGCCATTGTGACAGGGCAAATTCTCTCAAGTGGGGGGAGACCAAGCCTTGCACTGAGAGAGAAGAGGGTTCTTGGTTTTAGCTATAGGGAATGAATGTAGGGTGCCCCTTAAAGACCGTTTTTCCTGTTTTCCCTTCACAGGTGTGGGAAATGGGTTGTTAGCAATTCCAGCAGAAATCTTCCTTCGTTCTGCAGGTTTCTTTCTGGTCTGGCTGCAGGGCATATTGCAATCTCTGAATACAGCTTGATTTAACACTAGTTCTTTTCTCTCCTCTCTACATTAGCTTGCCTGTGTCCCCGGGACTTGCAACTCTCTAATAAATGCTTATTCGAAATAGCTCAACTCCTGTGCCTGTCTATTTTCTGAACATGCAGGCAGAATGAGACCTGGACTTGGTTTCCCTCTGGTTTCAGTTGGGGGAAAGAATGAGGTCACCTGGTCACATGCGAAGGAGTTACTTCCTGTAAATCAAGGGAATCTGCTGGAAGCCAAGAGTTCAATTGCGTGAGCAGCTGAGAACATAGAGCAAGTCCAGGCACTTCTCTAGACTTGTTTCCTCATTTATTAGATGGGGCTGTTGGGAAGTGATATGGCTGTCATGGTAGAAGGGACTCCATGAGCTCCTACTGAACTCTTCTGCATGCTGCAGACACAGAAGTGGGGGAGGCGGGCATCTGAGCCTGTCAGAACCCGGGAGTAGGAGACTACAGGTACCTAGTGGGTGGAGGCCATGGATGCTGCATGACATCCTACCCATCCAGGGCAGCCCCCACAGCAGACTGCACTCCACCGCAAATGTCTACAGTGCTAAGGTTCAGAAAACCCTGCCCTAGAATGTCAGGGTGAGGGCAGAAGGAAATTGACAGAGTCCATACATAGAGAAATGGTCATGGAGGGTGAAGCATGATGAGCAAGGGGAGGGGACAAGAAAGCCGGGGGGCCTGTGGCAAGGATGGTGCTTGGGGGTCCCTAGGTGGACAGTAGGAGCCATGGAGGGGACTCTACTGACCATCCGGGCTGGGGACCATAGGCCCAGAGGGCAGTGCAGAAATCTGGGCAAAAGGCCCAGTGCTGTGGACAGGAAGTCGCCTAGACAATAGTTGGGATTCCAGAACTCGAGGGAAGGAAATAACAGAAGAGGAAGGGATTATGGGGCATGAAGGGATCCAAGAGAGTGGGTGAAGGTGTTACCAGTTCTGGGGAGTCCTGGAACTTCTGGACCTCTGTTCTTAGTGTCTGGTCGACAAAGAATTGAAGGCAGACGCCTAGAAATTCATTGTTGCAAGCTAGCTATATTAAAAGCAAAAGTACACTTTTAGGAGCGGTCAGCCTTGAAGACAAAGGAAGCTCACTCTCAAAAGGGAGAGCAAGCTGCCAAAAAGTGGTCGGCCCAAAGACTTCTGCCAAGCGAAAGTACACCCTCAGATGAGAGAGCACGCAGGCTCAAGGGACAGCTGCCCCATCCGTGGTGGGTTTGGGAATTTTATCCATTCATCTAACTAAGGGGTGGAATATTCATGATTTTGAGTGGTCATTTCATGGAAAAATGGTGGTTTTTTTAAATGGAATTAAGGAGATGCCCTTTTTCTTACCATGTTTGGTAAGAAAAGTGTCATGAACTGTCATGTTCAGAACTGTCATGGCATCAGATGCATGATGGGTACAGCCTTAACCTCAGTGCTAATTATAATGATTGCATAATGAAGCAAAGATGAATCCTAGGTCACACTAGCTGTCCTGCGCATGTCTATGTTGGGGTCTTTCTCTATCTCCTTTATTTTCCACTTTAGCAGGAAGTTTTAAACTGCAAAACTGCTTCACGAAGTCAAAACTATTGTTCAAGGCTGTTTTTCATTTTAGTGGCTCTGGGGGTATGTCCTGATGTAATTCCTACCTTGAAGGGTCTATTAGGACTGTAGCTCTCCACGTTGGAGAAGCAGAGAGGCTCTCTGGAAGAGGGGTTCTCATAGCTGGGTACTGCAGGATGAATAAGAACAAAGGCCTTGCCTAGGTGTATCTGCAGATCCAGGTTTGAATCCCAGCCCTGCACTTGCCATGGGGGAGGGGGGATCAGGAACCAGGATAAGGTGTCCCTCTGATTACATATTGTTTTTTTTCACTGGAACCATGGGTATCAGGAGATTGGTGAGGAGACCAGAGTAGGTGGCTGAGCACTCAGTGAGCACTGACAAAAGTGTACAGTCCTTTAAAATGATCTCAGTAGAGAAGAGGGTGGGGTAGGCAGCGGGGTGGTACCTGCTCAAACCCCTTGGGTTCCTGGAAACACTCTGGAGTGGGGAAAGCTGGGTATAGAAGTCAACGGGTCCCAGACACTTGAGGGTTGACACAATGACACTCCAGGAACTTCAGAGTAAGGTCTTTCCTCCCAAAAGGGGTGTTTAATTTTTGGAGCTCAAAAATCCCAGAAGAAAGTGACCTTCTAGGAACTGTGACAGCAAGAAGCAGATGACCTCCACTGCATGAGCTGGCCAACTGGTGGAGTGGGGTGTCAGAGAGATGACCCTGGGCCAACTCGGATGTTTCTCCACCCCTAAGGCTGCCCCACAGACACCTCAGAGCTACCCCATGAACCACCCCTGCCACCCGGTCATCTCCTCTCCCCCAAAATGTCCCTTCTCCCAGCTTTGTTGCCTTGTGGCCCCCTCAGAATTGGTCAGGTCAGAGAAGCCAAGCCGGAACTGGACCAGTCCAGGTTGTGGCCTAAAAGACATCGTAAGAGGGACTCAGGGTAGAGTCAACGTAGACAGAACAAGGCCCCGTCCCCTCTCTAAGCCTAGTCCTGCCCCAGAGACCCTCCTCCCTCACTGGGTTTTCTCTACTCTCGTTCCCCAAGACCCTTCCATGAGCCTGGCTCTCTACCCCGCAGCTAGGCCACCTCCCCAGGCCCTGACTCCCCGGTGCCCGCTCCTTACCAGCCGGCTTTCTGAGACCTCAGGCCAGCAGAGCTCGGAAGCTCAGACTCAAGAGCACAACAACTACCAGGGAGCTTCTGGCGTTCCTGGAGCTGGTGGAGCCATTTTTCTCGCCAGAGGCATGCTCTTTCCTAGGGTGAAGATGGGGACAATTCGGGCAGCTGCCGGGCCTGGCTCCCCCAGCGCTGCGCCCATCGCCCCTCAGAATCTCCTCTCCTCCCCTACCAGGTCGCTGCGGAGGAGAGTGGGTAGCTGCGACCCGCGCTTGGGCGACACGGGACACAAGACAGAGACTCAAACTTTGTCCCCAGAGCAATGGGAATTTTCCGAGTGGAGGGGGTTCAGGGGATTGGGGAGGGACGAAGGGGGAGAAGTCTTGACCTTAGCTGTTCCAGCTCCGCCGCTGTGTTCTTCAGTTGCTGTGTCAAATTCGTGATCTCTCCTAAGGTGGGACAGAATCAGGGGGTGTGGCACCGTGGCCACGCCCCTCACCTGGCCCCACTCTTGGACAGGACCTCATAGCTAGTCCTGTCCTCATCCAGGCCCACCCTGGAAACCTAGCGTGCCCTCTCCTCACCTCCACTGGATTCCGTCCCGGTTCCTCCCGACCCCAACCCTGGGGCCCCGCCTCCTCCCTTGTGTTCTTCTCACCTTGAAGCTTCTGTGCTAGTTCCCGTTGCTTTTGGCTCTCAGCCTTCTCCATCTCCAGGGAAGACTTCAGAGTCCCCTGGGAGGTAAAGGGGGTGGGGTGCTTGAAACGGGTTCTGTCCCTTGTGGGGTTAGCTGCTGTCCCTGCGCCCTGGACCTCCTCCCTAGACCTTGGGGTCGGAGGGGTTCAGGTCCAAACCCCTTTCAAGGTTCTCTCCAACCGTCTCTCCATCTCAGTCTCCCATCCTGAAGAGTGGCCATAATCTCCCGCCCTCCCAGGACCACCAATAATGGCGTGAGCCTTGAAATGGGAGTTTCAAGGCCTCCCACATGGGAATTTGGAGGCTCCCCGTGCCCATACCCTAGGAGAATTTTCAAATCCCCTGGGGTATTACCCAAGATGATTTAGAAGTCTCTGTAAACCCAGAACACAGGGAGATTTCTGAACCAAAATTAGATGTCCAGGGAGAGTTTCAAGGACTCCCACATCAAGTCCAAGTGAAAGTTTTAGTCTCTTAGGGATGTAGTAGAAGTATCAGAGCCCCTGCCTTCTTCAAGGTCTGGTGAGGTCCCCATCCCAACTCCCACGGGGGATTTCTGTTCCCCTGGACCAACACCCTAGAGTTGGAGATTCGTCTACATTCTAGTGGGGATACTGAGGACCCTGATTTGAGTGCTCTGAAGAGCTTTAAGGCCACACCCCACACCAGCACCCCAGAGAGAGTTTAGAGGTCTCAAAACCCTGATGAGAAATTCAAGCTCCAGATATAGGTGCCCAGGGAAAGTTTCAGGGTTTATCTCCATCTCCACCTAGACCCTGTGGGCCCCCCAAGTACCTAGTCCCTGTCCCCCCACTTCCCCCAACTCCCAAGCACAGGGCCCTCTCTAGGAGTGGCAGCAGCTTACCACAGTCTGGTTGCACGAGGCAGCCTGGGCCTTGGCCACCCCTAAGCTTTCCTGGGTCTGGGTCAGTTGGAGCTCCAGGAGGTGGGTTTTATTTCGACACTTCTGCTCTGCTTGGAGGCCATTTTTGCAGGCCTCACTGCTGTTCTCGACGGCGAGGACGATCACGGCCACAGTCAGACCCAGTATCACCAGGACCAGCAGGATCCACAGCCACCTTGGCAGGTTTCGGTTCCCCAGCACTACCTTCTTTGAGTGGTCATCCATGGGCACAGGAAAATAGTGGTATAAAGTGGGTGCCATCCAGATCTGCACTGGGATATATGGAGCTTGAGGAGGAGTCAGGAGAAGAAGCTAGAACTTACTACAGGCTAGAGCTGCCCCCTTATTAGCATAGGAGCCATCCTGACCAATCATGAGTTCTGAGAGAACCCCTTGCAGTGAAGTTTCCTGAACGGGGCATTCACAGGAAGGGGACAGTTAAGCTTTCAGTTTCAGTTTCCCAGAGAAGAGGTGTGTAGTTTCTGATAAGTTAAAGTCTTAGTCTTTCTGGGCTGGGTGCTGTTAGGAGAATTCCTTTGGGAGGGGAGATGCCTGGGACAATCCAGCACAAGTCCCTGCCCTTTTCCTGTTATTACTGTGGGTGACAATTGCAGTTACTGACCACCTAAGGCATGACAGCCTTGTGTTCCTCTGTACTGCGATCTGAAGAAGCAGAGGCTGTCATTGGTCCAGTTCTCAGCTGGGAAAAACTGAGGCTGAGAAGTAAGTGGTAGACTATGGACCTACAAGGCCTGGGTCTGACCTAAGAGGCTGGGTTTTGTGTTCAGAGGTCTCCACGGTGATGCAGCAGGGGTTCACTAAGTATCCCTGCCATAGTGGAGCAAACCATAGGGAGCCATGGAGGGTGTCAGAGGAGGGACTGGAACCTGCTCAATCTGAGTCTCTGGATGGGCCCACGTGACCTAGGCTGCAGTTCACCATTTGGCCATCAGGGGCTGCACCAGCCAACAGACAGGGCTGCTGAGGCACCCGTCCTAGCTCCAGCGGAAACAGCCTCCTTCTTCTAGAATCTGCTGCCTCTGCCATCCCAAGAGGCCAAGTAAACCCTCGGAACCTCAGTTTCCCCATCTGTAAAGTGGGGCAATAACAGGAGCAGCCTCATGAGGAGAGTCAATGAGGCGTTGAGAGTAAAACATTGCATCCAGTAGTTCAGTGGATATGCAGGCAGGGCCCATGGCTCAGGGGAGGAGGAGAGGTGGAAAACACAGAAATATGGCCACAGAGCAAGGAGCACATTTTGAGGAAAGATAATTGGGACATGCTGAACCCAAAGGGTCTAGGGGTACATCCTGGGAGAGGCCCCAAAAGAGGGCTGGACCCTGGAGGGAGGTTGGAGAGGACTCAGGCCACACTGACCTCCTCTCCGTGTGGCCAAGGGAGCAGCTACAGGCTTCCTGCTGCTGGCTGATTGAGACCCAGATTCTGTTAGGTGGGCCATTTTAGTGTTTGTGGTCTGCTGGGTCAAGACCAGGGGTTCAGGACTCCTAGAAGGCCTGGAGAAGCACCCCTAAGGCCCCCAGTTGGAGATCCCTCTACCTAGACACTCCCCCCACAAAGCCTCTCAGCAGCCAAATGACAAGGCAAGGAGGACCATCTTGCTGAAGAAGTCTGGGGGAGCTTACGTGTCCCATGAGCTGGGGCCTCCCTTTCTGACCAGAACCCCAGGTGCAAAGACACAACCCTGGGTAAAGCTGACTTATGCAACCTGCACTGTGCTGGCCTTCAAATTTTAGGGTCACCTTGGGGCCACAATTGTGGGTCAGAGGCCAAGGCTGTGTGTGAGCAGCCCTGCCTCCCTGTGGGACTCTAGGCAAGCAAATTCTTCTTGGCCTCAGTTTCCATAACTGTAAAATGGGAATGATAATAACAGAACCTTTTGGTGCTCCCCTAAATTTTGCAACCAAGGCGAATGCCAAACTTCCCTCACTCTAGTCCCAGATGTGCAAACAGAAAGTTTGTGAGTTTTCTCTCTAGAGAAAACTGTATCACCATTCTGGGTTTAGCTTAGAGTAAGGTTGGACTGCTTTCGACAAAGCCTGATTGGAAGGCTAAGAGGTGGAATCCCTGGGAAAGTGATGAGAGTGAAGAGGAGGGTGTTGTGATCGTCGATAATGAAATGTATGCAGCATCTGTGCCACTGGACCCCTCAATACCAAGGGTATTGAGCGAAAGGTGGAAAAATACATTTTCCTCCCACATTTCTAAGTTCTTCTGGTTAGACTAATAATCTAATTAGTACAAGACAGACTAACAGGAGAAAATAACCAGCTTTATTACTTACGATACACGGGGTGCCATAAGAATATGAGGCCCCAGGACAGATCGGCAATTGAGGCTCAGATGCCACTGGGGCTAAGGAGAAGGGGGTGGTGCGTTGTGGTTTGGGACTTCAAAGGGAAGGAAGGCGATTCGAATGGACATGTAAAAGTAAGTGTTTGGTAAACAAATATTTGCTGGGCCATCTTTAACAGTGAAACTTTGATCAAAAGGGCCTTGCTTGGTTCTTCTCTATCACACCTAGTTTATTAAACTATCGTTATCTGCCATGATCTCTCTCTTCCAGGAGCAGGTCCTCTTCTAAATTCCTTTTAGGCAGTTAGGTTTTTCTCAACTCTTTTGTTTCTTGAGAATAACCAGCTTAAAATAGTATCTCCTAAGGATAGTTTGGGGGTGGCAAAGTCTGCTCCTGTCAATAGGAACAACGACCCCAGCCAGTGGGGCAGCTCCCAATTCAGGAAACATTCCTGATGAGAGGATATATTCAAGCTGAGCTTGTTGACATAGCGGCCAACTTCTGGCAAAAGGCCAGGGGAAGTATCCAGGAATTGTTACTGTGGCGTGGGATGTGTGGGGGTGATGGCCTTTCTCTGCCCAGCAGGAGGCAGAGAAAATGAGCAGTGTCACCAGACACCTTGCCCCCTGGCAGTGCCTGCACGGCGCTCAGGAGGTTCAAGGTCTTCGCTCTCTTAAAGATGGCATTATTTCATTCGGCAAGAAGGCTTAGCCGAATGAGGGGGACCTCCCTGGGCATGTGGGACCCTGGAAATCTATAGAGGGAGAACAACAAATTCTTAGCGAGCTAGGAATGAGACAGGCTATCTATGCCCCTGTCTTTGAGGGCCCTAATTGGGCCCTCACTGCAGGAATGAAAGCCAAGATACTCCAGTCCAACCTCAGCACCTGGTAAGGGATGTGAATATCCATGCTGAGCCCAGTTGTGGGACAAAACATTTATGATGTTGGGCAATCTGTTGTTGATCTGGGTAAAATGACAAACCCCAGGAACAGATACAGGCAAAGCCCGAGACAGAGGAGGAGCTCTAGAAGTCAAAAGGGTATCCCAATGGGCTGTAAAGGGATTGGTAACAGTAACCAGAAAGCAAATGTGGTTTGACCTCCTTGCTGTCAGGACTCTACCTGAAAAGATAAACCAACAACACAATCCTGTGTCGGTCAGCCCGTGGAAGCCTTAAAGCCTGAACAACAGTTCAGACCTGCCCCACTTTCCTACCATCCCTGATGCCCTGCCTGCTCCCATCCTATACAGGATGGGTGCCTTCTATACCCTGGGTATAGGATGACAGTCAAGATCACTTCCATGGGGAGAGTCATTCAGAGTGAATAGAGCTCACTATTCACTAGTCCACAAGAAATAAACAAAGATGACGGCTCTGGTGGATGCTGGAGCTCAGAGTAGTCTAATATATGGTGACCATCAGAAGTTTTCTGGCTCCCTCAGCACCATTAATGGTTATGGAGAGCAAGTGGTTATGGCCAAGAAGATCCCTTTGACACTGCAAATTGGGCATTCTTCCCCCCGAGAATATGAAGTTATTTTATTACCCATTTTCCCCCCTCTACTCCCATTTGGCAACCATCGGGTTGTTCTTTACTCTATGAGTTTGTTTCTATTTTGTTTTAATTATTAATTTTTTAAAAAGATTCTGCATATAAGTGAAATCATGTGGTATTTGTCTTTCTCTGTCTGACTTATTTCACTTAACATAATGCCCTCCAGGTCCATCCATGTTGTAGCAAATGTCAGGATTTCATATATATATATTTTTTATAGCTGAGTAATACAGCACATTTTCTTTAGCCATTCATCCATCAGTAGACGCCTAGGTTGCTTCCATATCTTGGCTATTGTAAGTAATGCTGCAATGAACATGGGGGTGCAGATAACTTTTCAAATTAGTGTTTTTATTTTCTTCAGATAAATACTCAGAAGTGGGATTGCTGAATCGTATGGTAGCTCTATTTTTTATTTTTCATTTTTAGGAAGCTCCATACTGTTTTTCATAGTGGCTGCACTGAAAATATGAGTTTTTTTTATCTCTCCAACACCAGAGAACATTGATATCCTACAAGGCAAACTCTATAAGCCTACCCAACCCCTCTATAGGTGAATTCTGCCTTCAGTTGATAAAACCATTGCTGAGGGGAAATGTCAACTGGGAACCAGTAAGTCTACCACCCCTGCAAAGAGTGGTAACTATCAAACAGTATAAAATGTCTTGGGGGAAGGGCATAAGGAAATAAGAGAAACTATGTAAGAATTGCCTGAGTGGGTATTGTACACCCTGCTCGTAGTGCTTTTAACAGCCTGGTATGCTGAGGGGAAAAAAACCAGATGGCCCATGGCAGATGACTGTCAACTACCAAAAATTGAACGAAGTGGTGTCGTCCCATCTATGAGGCTGTGCCCAACATTGCCACCATCTTAGATTCCTTGGTCACAGTCCTAGGAGTGTACCAGCCTGTATTAGACTTAGCAAATGCTTTTTTCAGTGTATCCCTAGCCAATGAGTCACAAGATCAATTTGCCTTCAAATGGAAGGCACATTAAAAGGCCTTTCAAGTGCTTCTCCAGGGCTACCTGCACAGCCCCACGAGATGTCATGATATGGTAACCTGAGACCAGTCCCTGATCTCTTTCCCCACATCAGTAAAATCGGCCCACTATATTGATGAGATAATGTTGATATTGAAGACTTGCTTTTGGTGCAGGACACTCTGCAGACTTTGCTGAAGCATCTGCAAGTGAGAGGGTGTGTGGTGAACCCACAGAAAATTCGAAGCCCAGGCACTGCTGTAAATTTTCTGGGAGTCGCATGGTTGGGTAAGGTGCTCATTGTCCTAGAGGCTGTAATTGACAAGGTGCAGGCTTATCCAACTAAGAATGTGTAAGAGGTGCATGTCTTTGTAGGAATTTTGGGGTTTTAGAAGACTTTTATTCCCCACCTGGCACAGTGCCTCTGCCCCTTATACTGCCAGGTTAAAATAAAAAAAAAAAAAAGACGTATGTGGGACTAGGGATCAGAGCAGTGAGCTGCTTTTGAGAAGAAAAAAAAATACTAGTGAAGCAGATTGGAACTCTGGGCATCTCTCAAGCAAGGCTACCATTTGAGTTAGATGTGTCTGTGACTCAGAAAGATATAATTTGGGTGCTGTGGCAGAAACAACAGAAGGAGGGAGTGCTCCTAGGATTTTGGTCCCAGGCCTGGACCAAAGGGGCAGAAAGCTGATATACCCCTTAGAGCAATGGCTCCTAGCAGTGTACATGATATTCCTGTAGGTGGAGCCCCTCACAAAGGAACAGCATATTGTGGTAAGGGCAGGTTGAGAATACGGTTTTCCTTGGGCACAGCGAAGAGTCCCTCCCTCTGGTATTAAAACTTGCCAATCTCCCTTTCCTCAAGGCCAGGTAGGCACGTTCTGTTTCCCACTGGTATGATCATTTGGCTGCCGTGTCTGTTCTCTCCATTGGCCTGGAGGACATTATAGCACACACAGAAACCCTTAGTTCATTCACCCAGCAAGCCTTAAATGATAGCCGACAAAGCCTGTCTTTACTGAATACTGAAATATCTCTAATGAGAAAAGCTGTCTTCCAAAATAGGATGGCCTTGGACATTAATACTGCCTCGCAAGGTGGCACCTCTGCCATTATTTGAGCAGAGTGTTGTGTGTTCATACGTGATGAGTCTGCTAATGTATGATTGTTATTAAATCACATGAGGACATGAGCGAATAAAAGTTCTGAGTGATCCAACCCCCAGCTTAGGGGACTTAATGGATCAATGATTCAGATAATGGGGCTCTTGGTTGAAGAAGTATTTTGGGAATCATCTTAATCCATGTTTTTCACACTAGGAGCCACTTCAAGGTACAACCTTGAGAGAGTAATGTGTTGTTGAGCCCATGTGGATGGTATACGTGACTGAACCCAGTTTTAAAATTCTGGTAGGTGGTGTGAGATGTACTTGTCTTGTGGTGCCCAAGACAGGCCTCATATGTTATTAAACTGCCACTTACCAATCTGGAGTGGTCTGCCTCTTTCTTCTATCTCTTCTTGTCCTTTGTTCATGGTGCCCAGTTTCAGATGTCACCCCGGAATTCCTGAGGTTGCGAGCCAACATTTCTCTTAAGCGGTGAGACTAATGTGGACCCATGGGATTTTAGTGTCTGTATCTCATTATTAGGTCATCTTTTCTGGGATTTTTCCTTTGAGCACTGAGATTTGAATTTCATGTAATTTTCACATGTCACTACATATTCTTCTTCTTTGATCTCAATCATTTACAAATATAGCATTTCTAACTTACAGGTCAGACAAAAAAGAGGGAGCAGGCCAACCCATGATATTGTAGAACTTTGGAAAATATAGGAGAGTAGATAATATCATGTTCCCTAATTTTCCATATTTCCCTCCCGAAAGGTGTACAAGCATGTTTCCATATTAAGTACTCTTATATATCATTTAAAAATATTAATTGTATCTGAACAAGTCCTCAAGTTATATCAAGATTTCATGGCTTATGGAGGTCTATAATTTTCTTTATTTAAACTAATCGCTGCGTAACCCATGAAATTTCCTTTGATATGACTTTCCAGAACGATAATTGTGGGTTTTTCATATTTTTCAAATTTCTGGGGAAACCCAGAACCTGGCTCCACAGGACACTCTGATAACGCAAGGAATTCTGGGGAACGTAGTTCTGTTTTGCAGCGAGCCGGTACCCCGGTTCTGAGTAGGGACGTTTCCGGCGGAAATTGCTGGACATCAGAAGGAAGGGAGTAAGATTTCCGCAAACGTCTCTGCTTACAGACCAACCTGGGCGACGCACGAAGGGCGTGGCTCCGCATCCCCACACGATTGGCCGGCGGCTTTCCAGGCACGCGCAAACTGCACTTAATGGGCCCCGCCCTCGCAAAGCTGTCTGGGAGTTGTAGTTCGAACTCCTGCCCGAACTCGGTCGTCTGACAGCGTTTCAGAAATCCAAGGCGGTTCATCCACTTTGGCGCTTGGATCGGACTATGGATCTCGGGCACGACGCGGCGCCCCTGACTGGCCTGGTCTGGTCGTCAGCCTCGGCGGCTCCGCCGCGGGGATTCAGTGCGGTGAGCGGCATCGGGGGGCGGGGATTGAATGGGGGCAGGGGTTGCTGCAGTAGGGCAGGAGCCTGGCGCTGACCCGCGTCCCGCTGTAGATCTCTTGCACCGTGGAGGGAGCGCCCGCCAGTTTCGGCAAGAGCTTCGCACAGAAATCTGGTTACTTCCTGTGTCTCAGTACCTTGGGCAATTTGGAGGTAAGGAGTGCCCATCTCTGGGATCCCCAGGGTCCGCCCACTCCCCCGTTCATTCGCCGGGCCCTATGCCAGGCGCGTCGTCCCCGCAGCTGAGTGACTCTCCCTGTATTCCCCACCCCGCTCCCCCAGAATCCGCAGGAGAACGTGGTGGCCGATATCCAGATCCTGGTAGACAAGAGCCCCCTCCCGCCGGGCTTCTCCCCGGTCTGCGACCCCCTGGACTCCAGTGAGGCCCGCGTCGAAAGCTGGGGGTGGTGGAGGGCACGTTTGCGTCCCTGCGTGGAGGACCTGGAAGTGGGGTGGAGGGACAACAGGCGCGTGATTTCTGAGTCTCCGCCGCTCCCTCAATGCACTGGGTGATGACAGGGTTGGCTGAGGACTCAGAGCCCTTTTCTAGGGCGGAGTGACGGACCCTGCCCTGCGTAAAAATGTGCAATTGGCACAGTCTGTACTAGAGTAACAATTGCGACCTGTTTTATTGCTGTTACTGCTACATTTTCTGAACCACGCGTAGTTTTCTTTTTTCATTTCTAGGCTTTTGCACACTCCGATTCCTCTGCTTGGAGCACCCTTTCCCT